ATTTACCTCTTGGCTCCTTCTAGGGACAGCACTGTTTCCTAATGTACCTCCACCTTGGTCCGTGGGAGGGAGAGGGGCTGTGGGTGTTAGTGATGGGAAAGGTCAGAGAGGATGGGATGTTCCATCAGCCAACCACTCAGAAGGAGAATAGCGCCACCAACATCAGGAGCTCTCTTCTAGTGGACATGTCTAGAGATACGTGGCTCAGCTCAGCGTTGCTGCTTGTGGTCACCCGCTCTTGACTAAATACAGTGCTCTAAATACGGTTGCTCCCAAAGAGACTGTGGGCTGTCCTCACCAGCCGTCCTGTCCCACTCCCACCAGAAGAAACCTCTTCTTATTATTAATTCCCTAACCAATTGCAGATATTGCAGATGGTCTTAAAGGAAATGCCAGAGAACAAAGTTTCCTCTGATCAAAGTATCTTAAGATGTGTCTACTCTCATTAGATGCCAGTGATAAAAAGGAACAAAAGTTTTTCTCAAAGAATGTAAAAGAAATGAGATCAGTGATGATAGGTCTAATTGTGGATATGTTTGCTTCGACCTTAGCATGGACCACTCACTCAGTGGGTGCCAGACATGATGCAGTGGCTTGGCGCAGGTTATGTGATGTTTTGTTTTGTTTGTTTGTTTGTTTGTTTGAGACAGAGTCTTGCTCTGTCATCCAGGCTGGAGTGCAGTGGCACGATCTCGGCTCACTGCAACCTCTGCCTCCTGGGTTCAAGCAATTCTTCTGCCTCAGCCTCCTGAGTAGCTGGGATTACAGGCATGTGCCACCATGCCAGGCTAATTTTTGTATTTTTAGTAGAGATGGGTTTTTGCCATGTTGGCCAGGCTGGTCTCGCACTCCCAACCTCAAGTGATCTGCCCACCTTGGCCTCCTAAAGTGTTGGGATTACAGGTGTGAGCCACTGCACCCGGCCAGGTTATGTGATTTTTAAAGTCCCACTGTATTTTATTAAGGAGTTGATTGAGCCTCAAGGAAGTAAAGCAACTTATCCAGAACATATAGCTACGAAGCTAGAAACTCAAGATTCCAACTAGGTCCATCCAATTCCAAAAGCCCGGTGAATTTTCTGTTACTTTCTATGGGAAGTTTTCAGGTTTAGTATAAAGCAACATTTCTTAATTATGAATACAATCTTATGTAACAAAATTGCACATTAAAGCGTAGTCCTTTTGATCCTTCTTTCCTCTTTTCTAATAGTTTTACAAGGCCTCAAAGGAATAGAACTCTAAATCTGTTTTATTAAATTGCTTTAGTTTTCAAACAAAAATAGCTCCTGTTGGTTTATCTTTAGCTGTTAACCTAAACACATTCCTTTTTTTATCGCTGCAAAATATTGTGTATTTAAAAGATATTCTGTCTCCTCTTTAATATTATGTTGAAATAAAATTTTCTGGTGTCCAGGGGGAGTTGGCCATTTTGGCGACTGCTGTCTCATCTGAGGTCAGAGGTGAGCCTTGCAATGTAGAAATGATGGGGGTGAAAAAGGAAAAGCTCAGCTTCAATAACTGAGCTTTAACTCACGGTGGTGAGGAGCACAGGCTTCAGAATCTCACAGCCCTGGTGCCTTGCCAGCGCCTAGTTTCCTTATTTGTAAAACAACTGACAGGATTAAGAGAATTAAATTAAATTATAATAGTTGTGTGTTAGTGGCGAGGCAGCATGAATAATGGCTCTAAGTGTGAATTCTGGGTTGATTCTCTCTGTGCCTCAGTTTTCCACATCTTTTTTTTTTTTTTTTTTTTTTTTGAGAGGGAGTCTTGCTCTGTCGCTCAGGCTGGAGTGCAGTGGCACAATCTTGGCTCACTGCAACGTCCACCTCCAGGGTTCAAGTGATTCTCCTGCCTCAGCCCCCTGAGTAGCTGAGATTACAGGTGCTCGCCATCACACTTGGCAAATTTTTGTATTTTAGTAGAGATGGGGTTTCACCATGTTGGTCAGGCTGGTCTCAAACCCCTTACCTCAAATGATCCGCCCACCTCGGCCTCCCAAAGTGCTGGGATTACAGGAGTGAGCCACCGCGCCCAGCACTGTTGGTGCTACACACCGAGTGTAGCTGTTGGTGCCTATTATTCCAGAACCCCAGGAGGCGTGGCATAAAATGGGATGTAGGGCAAAACCCACTCATCTCCCAAAACTCAGGCCACCCACACATGGGCTGGCACAATGAGAGCACATTGAAGTGACCAGGGAAGTTTGAGTACCATGGTTTGCTCTCAAGGAACTTAAATCCTAAAATGTACATGAAATCCTGAGGGAAAAAGACCTCACAAATATACTACACAATAGGAGCTGTTTCACCAGGTTAATTGCCAATGAGAAATGCAATATTTCTATTGACGGAGCAAGACTTCCTTTAGCACCTGTGGCTTGCTGAATAGTGGCCACCAAAGATATCAAGGTTCTGTTCCCTGGAACCTATGAATGTTGCTCTTTATATGGAAAAAGGTCTGCATATGTAACCAAGTCAAGGATTTTGAGATGTGGAGATGGTTTTAGATTACTCAGGTGGGCCCTAAATGCAATCTCAGGTGTCCTTGTAACAGGGAGGCAGAGGGGGATTTGACACAGGATGAGAAAGTGGTGTGGCCACAAGCCCAGGAATGCCAGTGGCCACCAAAAGCTGAAAGAGTCAAGAAACAGGTCCTCCCTGGAGCCTCTGGAGAGAGTGCTGCCCTGCCAACAGCTTGCCTTTGGCTGTCTTGTCTGTCCTGTCCTATGCTTTTTATTTTCTTTCTCTCTCTCTATTTTTTTTTTTTTTTTTTTTTGAGATGGAGTCTTGCTTTGTTGCCTGGGCAGGAATGTGGTGGTGTGATCTTGGTTCACTGCAACCTCTGCCTCCTGGGTTCAAGTGATTTTCCTTCCTCAGTCTCCCAAATAGCTGGGATTACAGGTGCCCACCACCACACCTGGCGAATTTTTGTATTTTTAGTAGAGATAGAGTTTCATGCCAGGCGCGGTGGCTCACGCCTGTAATCCCAGCACTTTGGGAGGCCGAGGCGGGCAGATCACGAGGTCAGGAGATCGAGACCATCCTGGCTAACACAGTGAAACCCCGTCTCTACTAAAAATACAAAAAATTAGCCGGGAGTGGTGGCGGCGCCTGTAGTCCCAGCTACTCGGGAGGCTGAGGCAGGAGAATGGTGTGAACCTGGGAGGCGGAGCTTGCAGTGAGCTGAGATCCGGCCACTGCACTCCAGCCTGGGCGACAGAGCAAGACTCTGTCTCAAAAAAAAAAAAAAAAAAAAAAAAAGAGATGGAGTTTCACCATGTTGGCCAGGCAGGTCTCCAACTCCTGACCTCAAGTGCTTCTCCAACCTTGGGCTCCCAAAGTGCTAGGATTACAGGCATGAGCCACCCAGCCACCATGCCTGGCCGACTTCCCTCCCCTCTCCTCCCTCCCCCTCCCCTCCCCTCCCTTCCCTCCCCTTCTCTCCCCTCCCTCCCTTCTATTCTTCCCTTCCCTCCTCTCCACTCTCCCCTCCTCCCCCCTCCTCTCCCCTCCCCCCTCCTCTCCCCTCCCCCCTCCTCTCCCCTCCATTCCCCTCCCCCTTCCCTCTCCTCCTCTTCTCTCCTTCCTTTCTTTCCTTCTTCTCTCTTTCTTCTTTCTCTCTCTCCCCTCCCCCTCCTCCTTCGCCCCCCTCCTTTCTCCCTTCTCCCTCTCTCTTTCTTTCTGAGACAGGGTCTCACTCTATCACCCAGGCTGGAGTGCAGTGGTGTGATCAGAGCTCACTGTAGCCTCCAACTTCTAGGCGCAAGCGATCCTCCTGCCTCAGCCTCCTGAGCAGCTGCAACCACAGCCACTATACCTGGTTTAATTTCTGTTGTTTTAAGTCACCAAGCCTGTGGTAATTTGTTTCAACAGCCACGACAAACTAATATAGCACTGTTGACTGTCAAGTGAGGCCTGCAGCAGTGGAAACTTTGTAGTTCTGAGTGGTCAGCTGTTTGAGGTGTGATTAATCTCCAGGAAAAATGTTACCAGGATTCCCTGTGTAACCATGACAAAATGCTGCGGAAGTCCACCACTTAGTTGCTGAAAAGCACTGAACATTCGCCTTCATCTGACAAAGCCTTTCTGAATAATACAGGGAGATTCAGGAGGGAAAGAAGGCAAGCAAAGAATGGGATGCCTTCTGCACTTGGCTGTCAGGAAATTCTGGGTAGAAATTCTTTCTCTCTCTCTCTCTCTCTCTCTTCTTTTCTTTTCTTTTTGAGACAGGGTCTGACCCAGGTTGGAGTGCAGTGGCGCGATCTCTGCTCAGTGCAACCTCCGCCTCCCAGGGCTCAAGTGATTCTCCCACCTCAGTCTCCTGAGCAACTGGGATCATAGGTGTGCACCACCATGCCCAGCAAATTTTGGTATTTTTTGTGGAGATGAGGTTTCGCCATGTTGCTGGCCTCAAACTTCTGAGCTCAAGTAATTCTTTCACTTTGGGCTCCCAAATTGCTAGGATTACAGGCATAAGCCACTGTGCCCAGTCCAGAAATGTTCATAATTTTTTTTTCAAAGATCTTATTTTTTACAGCCATTTTTTGGATTCATGCAGAATTGATTGAATTGAGTGGGTGCCCCACCACCCACCACCGCTATCAGCATCCCATATAAGTTTACAAGGTTTTTTTTTCTTTTCTTTTAGAGACAGAGTTTCACTTTGTCACCCAGGCTGGAGTGCAGTAGACAAACATAGGTCACTGTAGTCTCCAACTTCTGGCTCAAGTGATCCTCTTCCCTCAGCCTCCCAAGTAGCTAGGACGATAGATGCATGCCACTTAGCCCAGCTATTTTTAAGTATTTTTGTAGAGATGAGGTCTTGCTATGTTGCCCAGGCTGGTCTTGAACTTGTGACCTCAAGCAGTCCTCCTGCCTCGGCCTCCCAAAGTGCTGGGATTACAAGTGCGAGCTATTGTGCCCAGCCATAAATTATTCTTTTTACACGCCTCAGAATGATTACCTCTAAAATTACTGTCCGAATATACATAACCAAGAGTGAATTTTATGATATGTTTAATGGAGATCAAGACTTTTTCTATAAAAGTGAAAAAGACAATGACAAATTCTTACAACAGACATCGGCAGCAGCCCCAAACCTACATGGGGGGTGTTGTCCCAGCTGCAAGTGGCTCAGCTACAGGGTTTCGATATGAAACTCCACAGCACAGTCTAATGACCTGCTGGGCTTCTTGGAGTTGGTGGGGAGATTGGCTGAATAAGTGGTCTCTGCAGACCCCCATGCATGCCACCCCTTTGCCCACCATAGCCCACTTGAACCCACCACTGTCATAACTTTCCAGGTCCTAATTGGGACCACCTACTCCCCTTGGAGGGTCCGGATGGAGTCTCCCCTCCGCGGATGCCTCTCACTCATCCTCCACCACTTTGCCAACAAGGAAGGAAGGATAATCGGCAGGAGGGAGTCTTGCTTGGTGACCATCTGGACAATACCTCACACATGGCAAGCTGGATGCCTGTGGGTGACTTTGGTGGGTGGAAACTGGTTGGCACGCTATTTAATTTGGGCTTTTTGTGGGATGACTGCACACTGGTTCTCTTTTTTTCTCAGACCTAAATTTTGACCACACAACCTATCAGCCTGCTCACCCCTGCTTACCGCCATCCTCCTTTGGGCTGGGTTAGACTAATCCTCCCCTTGACAAAGCCTTCAAAGCAGCCTTCACAAGATAAGAGTCGAGACCCCTATCTTACCAATACATTTTAGTGAAACTTCTAGTAAACTCAAAGTGCTTGCCAACATCCTTAGGAACAAGTTAAGTTCTCGCAGCACCCCTGTGGGGTCGCTGTTGAAGTATCTTTGGCTGCAGTGGTGTAGAATCCATCTCAACAGAGTTGACAGTAAAGACCAGACATGTAGCAGCCTCACTGCTTGTCGGAGGAATCGCCCTTAGGAAAATTTCCCAAGATAGTAGTTTTCCCATCTCCGTACTTTGCTAGTTAATGTTCTCCACTTGCTTGGGTTTATCCTTTCAATTCCTTTGCTAATTAAACTGCTGAAAAGTATACATTCGTAAGAATAGACACTGTCAATGGACTGCAAACAAAACTCTTTCCTGTTATTGATGATAAACCATTTCAGAGAAGACCAGGCTGAGTCTAAAGGGTTCAAATAATTACAAGGGGAAGGCAGAGAGAGTAGTTCGTGGCCATAGGACTTAGCCACCTCTGGGCAACACGCAATGCTTGCTAAGTTAATGACTGTAGGGATATAGAACTGGCCCTCAGCCTCTCTGTCTTCCTTTGGCCTCTGCTCTTCCTGCTGTCTTCTCTCTTTGACCACGATGACACACTTTCCATAGGCCTTCCTCACCACATCACAGAACTCAGAGAAGAGGCTGTCTTCTTGTTTGATACACAGCTCATCTCTTAGGAACATCCGATATTTCCAAGGCACCCATCCTTGACTACCCGCAGCGTGCACAATACACCAAGTTGGAGTTTGTATGAAATATCCATCACTAATATCTTCCCCAGTTACTAGACTTTCTGAGATATTGGTTTCCCCAAAATATACAGTCTTAAATCCATCATACTGCAGTGTTCTCAGTGTTTTCAGATACTGGAGGCATTGCTTCCTCTTGATGCCATCAAATTGACTTCTGATAATGACGTTTCTTAAAAGAGGGCTTGCAAAGCGAGGCATGGTGGCTTCTCAACTGTTTTTAAAAGCTTGCATGTCTGCATCTGGGGAGAGATGGCAAGTGGGGATGATGACCTCATAAAGGGCTTTCTTACAGCGGTGCCAGTCCTACAGATACACTTCAGGTTTCAAAGCATCATGGAATAAATACTCAGAACAACTGCCTTCTGACCCATAAAATATGGAAATTGCAGATGCTACCCATAAAAAATGCTACTTTGACATCACTTCTGCAAAAGGTCTGAGACAGAAGTTAGCAATCTTTTAATAGTGATGAGCCTACCCATTTGGCTTAAGATGGGGAGAAATGTTTACATTCATTTATCCATTTCAAAAATATGTACTGCCTACCTGCTATATACCAGGCATTGTGCCAGACGCCAGGGGTATGGTCATGACACACCTAGGGAGTCCTGGACTTACGTGTTGTGTGTCTGTGTATGCATAGAATTTGTGCCAACTGCCTTTCCATTTGCACAACTAAGAGTGATTTTTTCCAGGTGGCAGAAGGAAGGTATGGCAAATAGCAAAATAAAGTCAGTCTGCACACCTAGCTTCCACTGGAGCTTGCAGGTGTTATTATTACTTTTTTTTTTTTTCTGAGAAGGAGTCTCTCTCTGTTGCCCAGGCTGGAATGTAGTGGGGCAATCTCAGCTCACTGCAACCTCCACCTCCCAGGTTAAAGTGATTCTCCTGCCTCAGCCTCCCAAGTAGCTGGGATTATAGGCTCCCACCACCATGCCTGGCTAATTATTTGTATTTTTAGTAGAGATGGGGTTTTACCATGTTAGCCAGGATGGTCTCAATCTCCTGACCTCATGATCTGCCCGCCTTAGCCTCCCAAAGTGCTGGGATTACAGGCGTGAGCCACCGTGCCCACCAAGAGCTTGCACTTATTGAGCTAATTCAATACCTCATCTTGAAAGCACTTTTAATTTTATATACTCAGGCAAAATGACAGTTTGCTTCAATATCTAACAGTCTCTTCAGTTTCCTTTGTATTTTCTTGCCTCTTTAATCAGAGCTAAAGACGTTTCATAAAATGGGCATGAAGGATTCCCTCAAATGAAGATGTAGACAAAATGATTGGTGAGGTCCTTTGCTCTACTGTTGAATGGAGGAGGATTTTTCCCCCCAACACACACAGGGGTTTTCTTGGAGCTCAAGTTTGGACAACCCCAGACAGTAAGATAATCTCATCATGGTAAAGTTAATAAGAAATATGTGGTCTCCAGACAGCCTCTCCCGGAGGCCAGGATCAGCAGGTTTGGGTGGATAATTGGCTTGTGGTCATTTTCTCTTAGGATTTTTCTTTTAGTAGTGGAAACTGTTTTTCAGATCAAATTTGGATGCCAACTATGTGGAACAGAAGTATGGCTGCTGTGGTTGAATTGATCCCCCTGTCAGCCACACCCTTTGTCTCCCCCTACCCCAAGGGACTCTGTGGCCTGGAACTGCAGTGTGAAATGCTATATAGTGCAATGAAGTCAATTCTAAGACAAGAGTTCTTTGCCTCTCTCATCTAATTTTTAGTTACGGAGATGAGACACTTGTTCAGAAGTATGGAAAAGTATATATAATATGTTATCTTTTAGATATGTGTGTAAATATGCATATGTATACAATGTGCTTATATTTTAACGCATAAACAACATGAATAAAGCAAACACTCTAGACTTCTCCAAATGTATCTTGTTTTATAGTTTTCAATTTGGAAAATGTCAACATTTTTACATTAAAAAATATTACTCAGCCATAAAAAAGAATGAAATCACGTCTCTTGCAGCAACATGGACAGAACTGGATGCCATTATTCTAAGTGAAATAATTCAGAAACAGAAAGTTAGATACCACATGTTCTCACTTTTAAGTGGGAGCTAAATAATGTGTACACATGGGGACAGAATGTAAAATAATAGACTTTGAAAGGGAGGTTGAGGCAGGAGGACCATTTGAGGCCAGGAATTTGAGACAAGCCTGGCCAACATGGTGAAACTCCTTCTCTACTAAAAATGCAAACAAATTAGCCGGACATGGTGGCTGACACCTGTTATGTCAGCAGTTTGGGAGGCCAAAGTGGGTGGATCACTTGAGGTCAGGAGTTCGAGACCAGCCTGGCCAACATGGTGAAACCCCATCTCTACTAAAAATACAAAAAAATTAACTGGGCATGGTGGTGCATGCCTGTAATCCCAGCTACTTGGGAGGGTGAGGCACGAGAATCATGAGCTGAGATTGCACCGCTGCACTCCAGCCTGGGTAACAGAGCAAGACTCTGTCAACAAAAAAAAAAAAAAAAAAGGAGGAGGAGGGCGAGGGATGAGAAATTACTTAATGGGTACAATGTACACTACTACACTCAAAGCCCAGACATCACCACTGAGCAACCAATCCATTTGACAAAACTACACACCTGCACTTGTACACATTAAATTTATACAAAAACAAAAAACAAAGGCAAATCAAAAAGGAAAATGAAACAAAGTGATCTCTAAACAACACAAACAGTAACTGATGAACCTAGCTGCGTATCGTGTCAGTTCCAAAATCACACAGAGACGAATTGCTTTCGAATGACCCTACAACACAGTATTTTGATCATATATTCTCCAGTAGGGTATAAGCTAAGGACAAAGAAAAACACATGAAATCTTAGATGGTACCCGGTAGTTTTATTGTTAATAATGATGCTGGTGTTATTATTTTGAAACTCATGTCCATTTCTCAGCTACCACTTGATACTAATTTTTTTTTTTTTTTTTTTTGAGATGGAATTTTGCTCTGTCACCCAGGCTGGAGTGCAGTGGCAAGTTCTCAGCTCACTGCAACCTCTACCTCCTGGGTTCAAGCGATTCTTCTGCTTCAGCCTCCCAAGTAGCTGGGATTACAGGCGTGCGCCACCACACCTGGCTAATTTTTGTGTTTTTAGTAGAGATGGGGTTTCGTCATGTTGGCCAGGCAGGTCTCAAACTTCTGACTTTAGGTGATCCGCCTGCCTCAGCCTTCCAAAGTGCTGGGATTACAGGCGCAAGCCACTGCATCCGGCCAGTGATTTTTAACCTTTATCAATCTGATAGACAAAAAGATCATTTCATTGTTTTAACTTCATTAATTATTAGTAAATCTGGCAATATATTAGGAAAACAATGACAAGAATAATTTGATACAAAATGCACAAAATTAGACGTCCTCGAAGATCATTTTAGAGGCAGCATGAAGTGGGGGCAGCGCTGGCGGTGGGGGCTGGGTGTGGAGAAAACCAGCCAAAGGAGGACTCATGGGATCCTGGAGCTTTTGACTGGGGTTCACTTGGAGCCCAGACTCAGGCCGGTTCTGACAGGAGCACCTGCCAGGCCTCAGCTTAGGGGCACAAGGTGGGACACATGGACTGGGTGTGTGGTCCCAGAGCCTAAGAGGCACCAACAGGGGGTTCTCTGCAGAGACCAGCGTCTGGCCAGGAACTGCTTTTGCACAAGGAGCCAGAAGTAGTTTGCCCCAGTAAGTGGGGGCCTGGACTCACACAAAGCATTGCACCACGGATGGCCAGAGAAACTCAGAGAACCTTCCTGTGCTTGTTAACATACTCTCTCACTTCCTCTGTAGCCTCCGCCAAGCCAAGCAGTCAGCTCCTAGGACTCCCCTCCCTCCACCTGAGGCTGCTTCTCCTCCCTTCCTCAGGAATCTCCAGCCTCCTGGGGTTTCCCCTCCCCGCTGCCAGCTCCAGCAGGGGCTGTCAACGGCCTGGGAGAGAGAAGTGGGCTTCCTGGGGCCACCTTCCCGACTTTGGAGTGTTCAGAAGGTGATAGAGTGACCACCAGGGGGCAGTGTGGACAGGTCTCCATAGGACTGGTCAGGCAGACTCCTTTGCAGAGACCTCGCAGGACAGGAGCCCTCCACACACCTTTCCCACGGGAGCTTCTCCCTCCACCCCGAGTCACTACTATCTGCTTTCCTAGAAGGCACTTCTTTACTTTTAATTCTTCTCCACTCTCCAGGTACCTGATATTCTCACATGGGGCACTGTAATTTGTTTAATTCATTTAAATTGATTTCATGTAATTGGGAGATCAAGATTGTTCAGTTGCAAGACAAAGTCTTAACTTGAACTCTCGGGACAGGGGTGGGTCCCTCAACTCAATGCGTGAGTGTTGCTGCAGGGTTGTTGGGCCATTTTCCACCTGCCATAGATCATATTCTTCATCCAAGAAGAGGGAATATTTAGAAACTGGCAGTACAAAAACAAAGCAAAACAAACAAACAAAAGAAAACCAAAACAACAAAAAACACCAAATCACCAAAAACAAACAACAACAAAAAAAGAAACAAACAAACAAAAAAAGCCCAGAGAAGTTGCTACTGTAAATAGATGTGTGTATACATGTGGCTGGTATGAACCTTATCCACAAATTCAGTTTTGTGGGAAACATCACATTTATTTATTTAAATCAAGTCATATTGGACTCGGGCATGGTTGGAGGTTCTTACCCCACCCCACTTCCCAAGGCCAGCGCACAGGCAGGGCCTTGAGGTCACCCTTGGGTCTAAGTGCCCAGACCCAAGCCTTTGTGGTCCCATCATGTGGGCACTGGCATCTTTGCTGAGGTTAAGAATTTCAAAGCCGGGATCCAGCCCATTTAGGTAAACCCGAAGTCACTCTCCCAGGTGGCCCAGTCATCTTCATGAGAACAAGAGCCATGAGCCTCAGTTCCCTGCCTCAAGAGCCTCCGTTTAACCCTAGGCTTGTGGACAACTCTGCCTCCTCTTCTCTCCCCTCAGTGTCACGGTCCCTGTCCCATCCCTCTCTTGAACAAGTACCACAACCTCCCCACCACACACAGGGAAAGGGCCAACCCTCAGGTTTTTGGCCTGGCATCTTGAATCTCCTCCCAGGCAACAGGCCACAGAGGGCCTGACATTCTCCTGTGAAAAGCTGGGCGGAAGGGAAACACAGAGAACAAACCCACAGAGAACAAACCCGCAGACAACAGATCCACAAAGAAGAAATCCACAGAAAACAAACCCACAGACTACAAACCCACAGAGACCAAAGAAAAGACACATAGACAACAAACTCACAGACAACAAATCCTTAGAGAAAAACC